GTAGTCATATCCATGTTATCCACATGTCCTACAACTTTTTAATAGCACAACATTTACATCAATATAACGTATATTAAATTTAATTACAAAACCATATATTTGTTATGCAATTTATGTATTATTTTTTGACAAAATATGCATTGATTTTACATTTTTAGTATTAATTTTGTTATAATGTTTTTGAAATAAAAATTATTACATTTTATGCAAATAAAATTTTATTAAACGATAAACAACTTTGTTATGTAATGTTTCCCAAAAGTTATTTTTATTATTGAATTTCAATGAAAATGAGTTCAAGTGATAACAAAAATATCAAAATTAAAACTAAAAAATTCCAAAAAAATAAATCTATTACAAAATTTAATCATTAAATTAGAAAAATATCATTTATTAATGTAAGTAATAATAATTCTTAGGAATAAATAATAAAATTATCAATAAATATAAGGAAACAACTAAAAAAAAGTGTCACACATTTGAGGCACAAGTTGTGCACAACTTATTAGAAAAAAAACATCTAAAAACAAGAATCCAGTTCAGTTCACTTGATTCCAGATAGTTGATCAAGGTCCTCTAACTTATTAGCCCATATCGAGTACTATATATTGGGTTATAATTAGGGTATTTGTGTGATAATGGGTGTGGAAGTGATGGTGTGGTGAGAGTTTGGAAGAGATGTGTTTGTTATGGTAACGGATGGAGTGATTTGCGCAAAACCTAACTGTAAAACCCCTTTTTGATGATAACTGTTGTGTTGTTGTTGTGATATATGATGTAGAAAGTGGTTAAGTAGTGGTGATGTAGTGGTTGTGTTGCAATGTGTCCCTGAATCTACTGATTCAAATAGATGTGAATAGGCCTGATAGACCGACCATGATCATACTATTGCTAGTCACACACATTTTGCAAAATTGCAGTTTAACTGCACTTTCACTGTAACCACACATACATTAACTAATAATACAATTGTAACTAATATTACGATATAAAGTGTGGTATTTATTCAGGAATAGTCCTTTCAATTCACAATCACTTGTGTCTGTAATTCACTGTTTCTCTCTTTGGGCCGAAGACATGGATGTGATTACTCTGTGAACACAATTCAGTGATCGTATATTTTTAGTCATTTTTTATTTATTTCATTGAATTATTTGGTGCTAAACATTGTGCGGAAGCGATGGCCCAAAACATATGCTCGTTGGCCAAGAATCGGATCAGTTTATGAGAGTTTGGAAGAGATGTGTTTGTTATGGTAACGGATGGAGTGATTTGCGCAAAACCTAACTGTAAAACCCCTTTTTGATGATAACTGTTGTGTTGTTGTTGTGATATATGATGTAGAAAGTGGTGATGTAGTGGTTGTGTTGCAATGTGTCCCTGAATCTACTGAATCTAATAGGTTTTAATAGGCCTGATAGACCGACCATGATCATACTATTGCTAGTCACACACATTTTGCAAGATTGCAGTTTAACTGCACTTTCACTGTAACCACACATACATTAACTAATAATACAAATTGTAACTAATATTACGATATAAAGTGTGGTATTTATTCAGGAATAGTCCTTTTAATTCACAATCACTTGTGTCTGTAATTCACTGTTTCTCTCTCTTTGGGCCGAAGACATGGATGTGATTACTCTGTGAACACAATTCAGTGATCGTATATTTTTAGTCATTTTTTATTTATTTCATTGAATTATTTGGTGCTAAACATTGTGTGGAAGCGATGGCCCAAAACATATGCTCGTTGGCCAAGAATCGGATCAGTTTTCGACGATTGGCGGCCATCAACGGCGCGAACAGTGGTTTGGTATACAATCAACGACTGGTGCTCTCAAACCATACGAGCCATACAACTGGTGATGAGACCACTGCCAGCGTTCGGCCAGAATTGGATCTCAATTTCGACAATACTTTGGAAGCCTTCAAGAGTAAGACAACTGGAGAACTGGTCCGCGCTTTGGTTGTCCTCAAGTTGTGCTCATTTGATATACTCGTTAACAATCATCCGAAGGTAATTCTCACTCAACTCTCAGCTGATCCACACATCGTATGATACATACGATTACATGACATTTACAGATAATCTCATTGATAATAACCAAGTGTTAAGTTGTATTCAAGTTTTTTATGTTATCAAAGTTCCGGCATTTGGTTGAGAGGTTTAAAAATTAAAGCCGTAAAACATGTTTATTTATCTTATTTTAATTTAATTATAGTAATTATAGTTAACAAATGGCTTATATATAGCATTAATTGACTTTTAGCCAAACTATACATCAATTAATGACTTTTACAAACACTTGTGAACAGAATATTCACAACAATTATAACACTTTATGCCATAAATCCAAAGCTCGAGTAATACTCTTTATGTATGCTCTCAATACTTACTGTTATCATTAAAGTAATTAAAGTGTTTTTCCAACAAAATTAACAAAATTATTCGTTAATACATGTGTTATCTGTTTCTCAACTCATTTTCAATGTCTGTCAGAGTCTAGTCTATGATTTATCTGAATAAACATAAAAAAAACTAGTTCTTCAGATAATGTGTGACTATATATACGGTATACTTTTCAAAGACACTTCACTCCCTATTAATTATTATTGATATCATATTTGAGTACATTTGCACTTTAATTGATATGCAATACACTATTCATTTAGTGAATAATTTAAATGATTTAAAATTTAAAACTTTTTTACTTTGAAACCAACAGCTCATTAAATTTGGTCGAAGAGTTTTTGGTGAGAATCTATTCAAATGGATGCTAAAGAAGTCATTTTATGGCCAATTCGTTGCCGGAGAGAACGAAGTGACCATTCGTCCCATTTTGGATCACTTGCGCTCATTTGGAGTCAAATCTATACTCGATTACAGCGCCGAAGAAGACATCACCGAAGAGGAGGCCATCGATCATGAAATGCCGTAAAGAACTGAATATACAGAATATGTTAAGAATTTTGATAAATTTTAACACATTTTTCATTGATCTAGATCTCAGTCAAACGCGGACCATAAGCCAGACGGTAAGAGAGTATTGCTTTCAACAATTGATGACAAATTATGCTAAATTGTTGTCCATTTGCAGATACTTTGATACAATATACTGCCCAAAAAGAGTTCGCCGATCGGCGTAAATACCGTCCGGTGGCGCGAACCTACTTCTACATGAATGAGGCCAATTGCGAGAAGAATATGACCACTTTCTTGAAATGTATTGACGCCGTGGCCGGCGCTACACTACACACCGGCTTTGCGGCCATTAAGCTGACCGCTTTGGGTCGACCGGGTATTGGATTTGCACGATCTTAAGGATTACAATATTAACGCTAAACTGTTATATGTTTTTTGCTCTCATTAGTACTATTGTCTCAATTATCGGAAGTGATCGCTCGAACGCGTAAGTACTTCACGAACATCACGGGTGTGGAGAAGATGGTTAGGGGACACATATCGCCCGAAGAGTTTCAAAAGCATTTGGATCAGAGATTCAAAGTGAAGACCGACAACGAAGAGATCAAGAATTGGTTCAAACAAATGGATTACGACAGACGGGGTCTCATGAATCTGTTTTCGTGGAACGGACTCATAGATATGGAGCACTTGATCACCGATCTGTTCAAAGTGCCAAACCTGACGACCGGCCGATTGGAGCCCATTATCAGCGCATTGACGCCCGAAGAGGAAGAGATGTTCAGGAATATGATGCGAAGAATACACACCATCGCCAGCACAGCGCGCGATCGGGACGTACGAGTGCTGATCGACGCCGAGCAGACATACTTCCAGCCGGCCATCAATCGGATCACAATGGAGTTAATGCGCAAATACAATAAGGAAAAGGCCATCATTTTCAACACATACCAGTGCTATCTTAAAGTAGGTGTACATTGCTTTACATTGCTGTGCATTATTTCATGAAATGCATATCCGGTGTATTCACACAATATGATCATTAATACGGTATCTCTCAATCAGAGCGCTAACGAGTGTTGTGTAGTAGACCTGGAATTAGCTCAGAGGCAGAACTTTTTCTTCGGCGCAAAACTGGTTCGCGGGGCTTATCTCGAACAGGAGAGACAGAGGGCTGCACTCGTCGGCTACGAAGACCCCATCAATGATACCTACGAACTCACTACTGATATGTATCACAAGAATCTCGACTTTTTCATGAGAAAAATCATTGAATCGGGAATTGAGAACAAGAAGATCGCTATTATGGTCGCATCACATAACGAAGATACTGTCAGATTCACCGTCGATAAGTATGTCATTATTCTCTCTCTCTCTCTCTCTCTCTCTCTCTCTCTCTCTCTCTCTCTCTCTCTCNCTCTCTCTCTCTCTCTCTCTCTCTCTCTCTCTCTCATCATGTAAAATAAATGATTAATTAAATGTTTGAATTGAATTCAGAATGAAAGAGCTGGGAATAAGACGCGGCCATAAAGTGATATGTTTTGGACAGTTATACGGAATGTGTGATCAAATCAGCTTTTCTTTAGGTATTGTTGAATACAATATATTTATGAATTATTGGTTATCATAATTGTTTGCATATTCAGGACAATCGGGTTATTCTGTATATAAATACGTTCCGTACGGACCCGTAGAGGAAGTGATACCCTATCTGTCGCGTCGGGCCATTGAAAATCACGGAATCATCAAAAACGCCAAAAAAGAGCGCAGACTTATGTCTAAAGAGCTGCTCCGGCGGGTCACGACTGGCGATGTATTTCACAAACCGGTCGGCAATTATACGCCTATTTAAGGGCTCGATATATACATTGTGTATAGATCTAAGTCTTTTTAACAAACGATTTATCGTTTTTAGTCATGTTTTTAGCCAACGTTTTAGGATATCATTATTTTTGATTGAAAATTCAAATGACGTGATTATCTGATTTTAATTGAAAAGCAATTATTTTTGTATAAAACAGTATTATTTTTATGAGAAAATATTAATTCTAGAAATAAACTTTATTTGCTGTTTTACTAATTGATTGATGACTTTAAAACTATATGAATTATAATTAAATACATAAACATTAATAGTTGTTAAAGAATATAACAATTGTTTTTCAATAATCAATAATCATTGTGTAATTATTTGATATTTTATTTGTTATTCATTAAAGACATTTATCACATCAACTATAAGTCATGGAAAAAAGAAAATGCGCTTATTGGCGTAAAACTAAAAATTGTTTTATACATAAAGTACTTAACTTTAAGCAAAGTTGTAATTGTCATAATAATCATCAGCTATCACTCATTATATC